GAAGGCAGACTGTAACTACAGCTCATTTCTTTGGTTCTCCTTTCTGTTTTGCAGAGGTGAACCTCATTACTAGTAGTACTTACCTCATCGATTTTGGCTCTTTATCTTCTCTTACCCAGTGGTTGTGAGTGACTGTTGATTTTCAGCCTTAGAGGAAAAAGAAGTTGCCTTCTACGTCACACTCCCACATCATCACACAGTGCTCTGCGCATTGAAAGGAGCGCATTCTCCTTTTGTTTGGGTCTGCACTTAAAAGTTTCAAGCCCACGTGCTTCTGTTGATAACTCACTGCCAGTGTTTCTCTCCCAAAGCAAAGTCTGTGTATCCTAATAGTTAACAAGCATCCTTCTCTGTGAATGTGGAGTTGTTCCCAGTTGTGCAAATCAAGGGTTAATCAGGATGGCTGGGGATTCTACCCACAGCTTGGACAATGCCAACAGAGCAGTGCAGATTAGGTAGCAGTGCTTAGGTCATGGCATAAATGAGTATTTACTTCTTAAATTGTGCCTGGATAGACGTTATCCCAAAGGATTAGCAGTGGATACCATCAAGAAATGTATGTAAACAGGTGCGTGGCCTGAAACACATGAATGAAAATACAGATAAATGTGAGGATTACATCTAAGCAGCCAACTGTTATCTGGAAATACATGTTTGTAACCTGAAAACCTTTAATTTTGCAGAGAGGTTCATAATTTGCCCCTGAGAGTGAGATTTTAGCTAGGTTTTTAGGTTTGAACTGTACTGCTGAAATATTTGATCTCCTCGGTACAGGATTAATCAATTATTTGATTTTTTCAAAGCCCCAGAAGCAAAACCAAATCTCTTTCTATATTTCTTCTTTAGTCACTCTTTCCTAGCATTGCTAACTAATTTACATTTTTCTGTGCTTTAAAATTAATTTCCCCTGTGTTCTACCCTATTTTTAACTGTTCAATATTAATCCTGCTAAGGTGATTGCTAAGCTAAATCTGGAGAATCAGATGTGAAGGCAAATGTTTTTCAAGTAGTTTACAAAGCCAGTTACCTTGTATTGGATAATAACTTCTAATACAAGATGTTGGTTTTTTCCCCCACATCTCTTATCATACGATCAAGAGCACATGCAGATATTGGTGGCTGAGAAGCTTTTCGTATGTGTGTGTATATATTTGTGTATATATATGTATGTGTGTGTATATATGTGAGTAGATATTTCTGCTAGATTAAATCTGGGCTATTGAAATTCTGACATGGTCATTCAGCATCACCTGTGTTTTGGAGGATCATTTTCACCAGCGTCACCCTGGTTCATATTAAATGCAATGGAGTTGAAATTGCTGGCTAGCAGACCCTCAGCTTTTCACAGCATTGTGGGTGGATTCCCCAGATACGTATTGCGAAAGGAGTTTAAATACAAACACGTGTAATTTTACCACTTCAGCTCCTGATGCTCTTGTCTGTTTGAGAGTGAAGTGTTTAGAAAGAAAGATGCTAAAAAAAAAAAAGTATCAGGCATAAAAGAACAAATACAATAAAGCCAGATGTCTGAGGAATTCCCCTTCTCCTGGTGTTGGGACTTGCAGGAACTACTACTGTGTCTAATAAACCATGTTATTATCATAGATGTAACAGTCTGTGGTTAAATATGCATTCTAGGATGCAAGACATGAAATCAAAGTAATCAACAGCATATTTCTGAAACCAAGGAAGCAGAAAACCCACTCATTTTAAAAACAAAACCACAGCTTCCTAATGGGGAATAGCATAGTTTCCTTCATGAAATAAAGCAGAGTATATAGAGTGTTTGTTTGAAGAATTGCAGCTTGAAACAATTAGTTTTGGCTTTTTTTTTCTTAGCTTTTTTGTTCCGTTCTTGTTGGACATTCATGCAAGCTACCAAAGGTTTAATCTAGCCATTTCATCTTCTGCATCTTGTGCCTCGTTTGGTACACAGCTCCAATGCAGGACAGGCTGAGAGCTGGGGCTGTGCAGCCTGGAGAATAGAAGGCTCTGCAATGACCTGAGGGCAGCCTGTCAGTATCTAAAGGGGAGCTGCAGGAAAGAAGGGGACAGACTCTTTAGCAGGGCCTGTGGTGACAGAATAAGGGGAAATGGCTAGAGAGGGTAGATTTAAGTTGGATATAAGGAAAAAGTCCTTTACAGTGAGGGTGGTGAGGCACTGGAGGAGGTTGCACTGAATTGTTGTGGATGCCCCATCCCTGGAGATGTTCAAGGCCAGGCTGGATCAGGCCCTGGACAGCCTGGTCTAGCTGTGGTGTCCCTGCACACTGCAGGGGAGTTGGGCTGGATGGACCCTCAGGAGTCCCTTCCAACTCTGAGGATTCTGTGTTGTATTTTGAAACAGATGCTAAGAAGTGATTCTATGATTCTATAATGGGCACCATGGTGTTGGGCTGACGGTTCGACTTGAAGACTCCAAGGTCTTTTTGCAACTGTGACAATTCTGTGATTCTGTGTGTTAAATTTGGAAGAAAAACTGCAGGAAATAATATTTTAATTTCTGTCCTGTTTTTGTTTCAGACCTCCTCCATGAGTGGCACTTTAAGGTCTGCCAATACTCTACCAAACCGAAGACATTCCCTATGAATAATGCAGGTACCAAGTATCAAAATCATTAATTTGTGTCTCCTTTATAAAAGGCTGGGTTTGTTCTTACAGTTCATACATATATATATATATATATGCATATATATAAAATTAGAAGCAACTGTTGTATTTTGAATCTTTGGTTAGCATCTCTGAAGGGAAACTGAAACTTTCCAATCATACTGTGGCCATGTAGAGGCTGGAACATTTATTCTATGATTTGATCACAGTAGTTTACACCATAAGTTTACACTTACAGAACCAGCAAAGCAAATATATTGAACTTCACATTTTTACTTAAAATGATCAGAAGGTTAAAGATAGTGCTAGTATTGCATGCCAGAACTGCCAGCCTCACGAGTGATCAAGTTACAAATTAGAGCATGAAATCAGGGGTCAAAATTTAAAGATTCAATAAACCACATACGGCCAAACTTTCTAGCACTCCATTACAGGCACAGGGTTTGTAAAATCTGTTGCATAACTAAGTTGAATGATATGAATAAACTTTCTGCAAAGTTGTAATGGACCTTTGGATTTGCCACTTTGTAACGATGATTCTATTTAATTAATTAGAACTTTACATAAAATATTAATCTCCCCACCTGTAGCTTTTTTTTTTTGCGTTTTTTTGTGGTGTAGGTGGACAAAATCAATATCTGAATAAGGAAAATTAGAAAGAGAAGGTTATATACTTAGAAGATACTTGTCTCCTTTATGTACAGAAGGTCTCACTATGGCAATAATAAGGAGGGGTTGGTCAAGATGGTAGATTGCTTCTGAAAGATAAACATTTCAGACAGTTGGCTTTGCAAATAGTACAGTTTGAAGAAATAGGAAATAAATGCTCTTGCTTTAAAAACGCCTGTGTCACCTGCAAATACCAGAAAGGGAAACAGGGAGAAAGAAGGAAAAAAAAAATCTTATGGTGAAAGTAAAGCTCTATGGCTTTGAGCAACCATGGAGATTTTCCAGAGCTGAAATAAATGAACTCAACGTTTACATATGTATTAGTGGAATTGGTGATGAAAGATAAAGTGAATTAAAATACAAAGCAAAAGACAGACCTAGTGCAGTGCAGGCTATCGTAATGGATTACTACAAATTAACTAGAGGGGAAAACTAATTACAAAAGGCACAAAATACTCATTATACCAACCTTTTGAGCAAATCATCAGCTGCTTTATTAACAGAAATGAAGAGACAGTACAGACACCATACTCCTGAATCTTTTGGTTCTGATAAAAAATGAGGTAAGTTGTGTAGGAACACAACTGAGAGAACTGTACCTGCTGAGGCAGTACATCCCAGCTGCGGGTCAGTGCGAGAAAGGAGGGTTTGAAGTCACAGGAATAACAAACCCCCATGACCATCCACACACATATAGTTAGAAGTGTCCTATAGAAGTGCAAATACCTCTGCCGTTCTGCTGTCCCTGCCAGCCTCAGGTTCTCGGCAAGACACATTACCAGGTCACGCTTCCTTCAAGTTTTTGTTGCACAGTGCTGTCTTGCAGCTAGAAGTAATGTGTCTGCTCATCATCCACTTCCTTCTCAGGAGTTAAGCCTTTAGTTTGCAGGTAACGTTTCAGATGAAAGCACGCTTCACTTTGCTTCAATTCAGGTAAACCGGCTAAAGGAAATTGTTGAGTTAAGGGATCTGTCTGTCCTCTCATGCTGGCCAAAGCCGGGCACAAACCATTTTCTGAGCTGGCTGCTCTGCAGGCACAGCTAGCATGCTTCCAAGATCTCACACAGAACTCTGATAATGTATGTAGAAATCGGCTATCTTCCATCTCACACAACTATAATGCTGCAATAAACTACGATGTAATAAACACAATCTAGATTTGATCCAGTTTTATTGGGCCATTTACTACTTCTGCTTCACGACTACAACAAATGTGGTATGCCTCAAGTGTAGAAAGGAACTCTTGCTCAGGCTAAGGTGCAGATTTTAAGAGTAGCTTGTTTGAAATACTGGAGTTTTAGAAACAAACATGTCTTCCTTGTATTTCTGTTAAGTACTAATTTTATGCAAAGCCTTTACTTTAGTCACTACTTAAGATTGTATTTCCTATCCTGGCATTTTCTGGCAAATAAAACATTTCTCAGTTTTTACTTCAGTCTTAATATTTACTGATACCAGCCAGCAACTCTCTTTGGAAACGTGACCTCAACTCTAGGCTACTAACGTGAAACCAACCTGAACAGATACTAAGAAATCTGATGCCCATTTCTAAGATTTTTTTACTTTGCTGCCTGACAGATGGTGGTTGTTGTACTGTGTCCTGTAAGAGTTTAATGCAAGGAATTCATAGACTTTTGCTCCAGAATGCATGATGATCACTACATTTTAAAAAATGAACTAGTGTTCTAGAATGCTAATAGTAAAGGCAAATGCAGACAAAGTTACTTTTGCAAGCTTTTTTAATATTACAAGGTTTTGTATTTCTAACATTACTTCTTCTCTTAAAGCCTCAGTAATATGCTACAAAGTCTGAAATTCAGTTGGACTGTAGCATTCTGGGAAACACAACAGCCAACAGAAAGGGGAAAGGGACATTAACAACCTTTATTAGCCTCTTCCAGGACTTCCCATCGTTGACATTGCTGGAAAAAACCACCACCCAACCAGCATCTATGGAGAGTAGTTAATAGACTCAGTTGACTTACTGAAAAATTCTTTTCAGGTAAACGCTTCAGAAAGTTTGGTAACAAAATAAGACCCAAGACTTGAGTTTTCTCTTATGGCAGAGAAGCACAAGGAGCTCTTCCTCTGATGTAAACATCAAGAACTTATCTTCTAATGCACCAGCAGCCTGAATCAGTTGCAGAACAAGAGAACACACGCATATTTTGGTACTTGGCTTGTTCATTATAGTGGTAGAAAGTACAGTTTGCACTTACCTGAAATGGCTACAGAGAAGTCTTCTCAAATCTCTATGAAAGTTTTGCTGTGTAATATGTTGAAGAACAGAACCATTTCCTCCTTTATATTAATGAAGATTTCAAACGTAAATTTAATCCTTGTAAAGCATCAGAAAGTAACTATTTCAGTATTTTATTAGATGTATACTTAAATCAAGCTCATTGCTCTAGTTAAGTATACTTTGGTTTTCATCACAATTAGATTCTGTCCTGTACTGCACATCTGAGGAAACGCAGAACTGATCTGACCAAACCAATCATTCATTTCAATAGATTTTTGTGGGTTTTTCAGTACTTACTTTTTCAAACTCTCCCCATCCCCCAAAAGGCTGCAGGTTGTAGGGCAGGCATGTTCCTTCATGTTTAAATGACAGGGAAGGTGTGGGAATATCATTTACCCTCAACACGTAGCGACGTAGAAGCAGGCACAGTTCTAAGAAACGTTTCAATATGTGCGACCGATCTTCGTTGGCATAAGTGAATGAAAAACACAAGTAATCGATGGACTGCCTCTATGGACAAAGCACTGTAATCACTACAACTTTATTTATAAACTACCATTCTAGAAGGCTGAATAGTCAAGACAAATTCAGACAAAGTTAGTTTAGTAAGATTTCTCCATGTCCTTGAAGAGATTAGTCTATTCAGTAAGAAAATACTGTACATACATGCCCCAGCAATGCTGTGCAGCATTTTTTAGGAACTGTTAGGAAATGAACAAAAAATGCCAAACAAAAAAACCCCACAAAATTTAGCAAGGCGGGATTGCCCAAGCAGGAACGTGGCACTTGCATGTAATAAAGCAGATATTTACAGTAAGCACAATACAGCAATTTATTTAGATGTTTAAATGAAGAATACAAAGGGAAATAAAGATCACAAAATTATACATACTACAACAGTGTGTCATATATTAGATGGTATAAATGAATACAACACCTTGTTGGTGTTAACTAAAGATAAAACTAAATATCCAAAACACAGCACTGTTGTTTTAAGTGTGCTGCTTCAACACAATACACTTTTATACAGATCTAGAAGGTGTCAAAATTAGTAGCTGCGAACTTGTTTCTTGCATGTGATTTTTCATCTTTAGCTTAAAAGATTTCAGAAAATGGCTCTGAAATACGTTTGTCATCAGTTGTAATGTCAAGGATACTCAGAACAAGAAAATTCTATAATACAATAAGAGTCCAGATATATTTTTTTATGGTGCTGGCCTCTGTTTTTGAGATTGTACAAGGTTATGTGCAAAAACTAAGTTTGTCAAAATTCGTACTATAGCAGTTTCAAGCTTTTGCTAGGTAAACTAAATACAGCATTTATTACACAGCAGGGCAACACTAAAAAAGAGAAACAAATCTATGATGGGTACACAAGAACAATTTCATAAGCTTCACTTGAATAGGTCTAAAAGACTGTACAAATATACATTTCAACTATTCAGAATGATACATGAAAAAAATCAATTTCCCCATAGTCTACTATACACGTTGAACTGGTAGCTTGTATGTTGGCCCTACACACTACCATGTGAAAAAGGGTAATGTTTAAAAAGACATACAACTGAACATGTACAAGAGTGAAATAAATGGTGAAAACGCAGATAAAATAAACCTCTGCTTTTCTCTGTGTGCATTCTTGAGCCACCAGCTTATCTGTTTTCACATTAAATTACTGTGCTCATCCCAGCAAGTACTCACAAGCAAGATCAGCCAACGGCATCCTCAACCACTGGAGTAACAGTGGCCATGAACACCACGCACCGTGACCTAGCACTTGGAAGGCAGTACCAGTCAGAATTTAAGCTTAGCAGTCATACTGAAATGAACGTGTTTAGACAGTTGTAGATTGGATCATGTCTCTGACACTTCTGTGTCGAGGAGCTTATGCTTGCTGACTGCTCAGCTCCACACCAGATAAGCTGCTGTGCATTGGTTCTGCTACCCCATCAGTCACACCGTCAAAGTGATCTCCGTCCTCGCTGTCAATTGTGCTGTTCTGCCATTCCATCTGCTGATTTGACAAGCTCTCCTCAATCTCTGATGTATTTTTCCATTGTGACTGGTCCTTGGCCCAGAACTCTTCTACTTTTCCATAGGAACGATTCTTCCACTTTGACTGCTCTTCATCACTCTCAGACCCACCTCCTTTTGTCTCTACAGTCGGTTTACTGCTGCCAGCATCTTCGCTTTGTGAGGATTCATCTGTCCACACTTCTGGTTTTACTTCTGACGTGTTATCTTCAAAATCAGAAACTTGCTGAGAACCAGGCCCACTTTCAGACTGCGAAGCTCCATCTTTCCATTCAACAGCATCATCCTGATCATCCTGATAACCTTCACTATCTGAAACATCACCAACCAGTTTTGTCTGCCCTTCGGCAGAAATAATCTCCTCATATTTAGAGCTTTCTTCTTGTTTTTGATCAGACTTTTCTGGAGATGGTGAGGTATTTTCTTCAATGATTTCCTTGGATATGCCATCCTCTGGGTTCTCTGCTATGCTATCAGGAGAAGCTTTCTCACCAATGTCAGTAATATGTGGACCAAACGGACTACTGCTTTCATTGTATTCCTCTTCTATATTCTCATAGCTGTCTGATGAACTTTCATTGTCTTTTTCTATGTTTATTTTTTTATCAACAGTCTTACTAATGTTAACTCTGGAATTCTTTTCATCGTGGTTTTCAAACAGCCATTCAGCATCAAAATCCATTTCATGTTTAACTTTGTTTAATTCTTTCATATTGAAACCAAGCAGCACACCAGGTTTGTATTTTTCACAATCTCTAACGCATTTTTTCCTTTTGTTGCTGAAGTGAGATGCAATATCAGATTTCCACAGCCACAGACTGGCAGCCAGCTTTTCAATCTCTCTCCTAGTTGGATATGGTTGCTTATTAAAATATTTTGTGAGAAATGTTTTCCTGGCTTCATAGGAATCATCTTCGTGACCCTTGGGGTCCAATGCTAGAACTACCGGTTCTTCAGGCTTCTCCTCAAAGGCAGAGGGGGAGTCATCATCATCCATTTTCCTTCTCTTCATCAAAGAGAATTCCATGTGTTCGTACGTACGTTTTACAGGGGCTACACCTGCAGACTGACTTAGCCGGGATGACGAAGTACCTTTGTCCTGGCCATTCTGAGTCTTCCCAACACCTCTGCAGTGAACAAGGTGCAACGTTATAGTTGAGGCAGTCATGTTACTGGTATACACGCCAAGGCAATGAATGCATTTGTAGGTTAGTTTTTTCTCAACCGGATGAACCGTCTGAATAACCTGATGCCTCTCCCGCAGATGATGTGCAAGTGCATCAGAGATGGGTCCTTTTAGGATTGAAAAGCACAGAGGACAGAGGGTTTTCCCCACATCTTTCTTGTAAGGAACTGCTGCTTGTGGAGAGCTTTTCACAGGTACATCAGACTTCTCTTGGATTTTCGGCTGTGGTTTTGGAGGAACTGGAGGTGTGTTCTGAGCATGATAAGCTACAGATTCAGCAGGAGCATCCCTCAGGTTGTAGGTTGTTACGAGAAGATGTATATTTGTGAGACTACCCTGCTGCAGCGTCAAATCAAAAGTTAAAGTGGAATCAGTTTTAGGTCCCATTTCTTCATCAACATGAACCATTCGCATATGAGCAGCCATCTTTTCAACATCATTGAAGGTTGAACGGCAATACGGACAAGACAAACCATGTATTAACATATGATTAAGCAATGTATCAGTGGGTAAATAGCGATTACAGTATAAACATTTGCTAGTGAAATTGTGTATTTTCATTATATAATTAGCTACTGCAGGCACCTTTTCAGCCTTGTGCTCCTTTTCAAAGTGAACACTATACACATTTTCAGGAAACAGCTCATTACAGATTGTACAGATTTTCCACTTTTGTGTGGATGATGTATTGACAGAAGAAGGACCTGTAGCAGCTACAGGAGATTTTGAGCCAGACTGACCTAATACTCTTGAAGCTGCCTGTGACTGAGATAACGACGTTTGTTTCAACTGAGCTGATGACAAGGAAGTTGAATTGGCCGACTGAAGAGAGTATCTTGCTGAGGCCTGAGATCTCTGCTCCCCGAGAGTGTAAGGCCTTCCATTTCCACTTGAAAACTGTTTCACTGTTTGAGATTGCTGTGGAATAGAAACTGGTGCATTGCCACTTAAGCTCAGCCTTCCCCCTGGCTGGCCAACATAACTTGGTGGTACTGATTTGACTCCATAATTGTTTTGCTGTAAGTGAACATTTGACATCATATTCACTCCTGCAGAATTTAATGTAGGCTTTGGTATAGTGAGTCTGTTCATCATCTGTTGTGACGAAAGAGATCGAACGCTCCCAGGGGAAAGGGGACCCATCCTCTGAGGGAGTCCCATAGGCTTTTTGTCCTGTGGTTTTGGAGCTATTAGCATCAAAGGTTTAGACCTTGGAACCACTACATTAGTGTGACCTATCATCGCTGTTACCTGATACCCTATACGTTCATGGTCTTCAATAACGTGCTGTACTAAAGCTTCATATGATTTCGGCATAAAAAGGCATCGTTTGCAATGAATACTACCCTCTTCCCGGGTACTGGAACTTAATGGAACTGCACCATTGAGTGACTTTTCACCTCCCTTTGCTACGTAAGGAGCAGCTACGTGCTGAAAATGTTCCCTGTAAATGTGCTTTCTAACAATTTCATACAGCGGATCTCGGTAAGTGCACTTCTTACAGTAATAAACAGCTTGTTCTACACTGTCAGCCTGCTTAGGTTTAAGGCTATCATGCTTGTTTTTATCTTTAAAAGTGCTGATGCCTCCACTCGGTGTATTGGCATTTGGAGCATGAAATATTTTAATGTGCGTTTCCAAAGTCTTTTTGTCTGCATTGAAAGTACAGTATGGACAATTAAGGAGAATCCGATTTTCAAAGTCTTCGCTATGGACATTCCGGAAGTGGCTTTTGTATGCTGAAAAGAACTTCGAGGAAAATGGACACGCACTGCAGCAAAAGGGCTTTGTCCGATAGTCCTTGAAACAAAGAACAAAGCAGAAACTGAATATGGAAAAGCAGTTTTTGGAAAAAGACTCTCTCTGAACTTCTGTGAACAACTACAGTCTGAGACCCACTGCAACAATCTCCAATCTGTAGATCAATTTATTCTCTGCAATTCTTGGCCTACAGATGAAGTCCTATGTTCATCATCTGAACACACACAAGGCAGTGACAGCCAATTTAAAAGGTCCCTCAAGAGTTTGGCCATGCCCTCAGCATTCAAGGATTAAGCATAAATATCTCTTCCACCAGTCAACAGAAGCTGCGTTCCCTGCAGCTGAGCATGCAAACGTTCACCATTATTTCATTGGTTTGGAAAAGGAAAGCATGGCTGTTGGTGTAGAATGAGACTGCATCCAGAAGACAGGAGTTATTTCCCTTTGGTTCTGCCAAACATTTATAGAGACAGCTAACACACATCCATTCTATTTAAAAGTCTTAATCAGTTACGAAGTTTAAGATAAAGAATACTCTTCAAGAATTACATACTAAGGCCAGACAATCCCTTAAAGCAACCACGTTTTCCTTCAGATCAAAGCACAATCCTGGTTTTTAAAACAATAATGTATCAGGGGAATTAAAAAAAAAAAAAAGGGGGGGTACTTGAAAGCTCCACACTTGCCTACTTTCCCTGCTGATGGCAGTTCTTATCCACTGTTTTAAAAGAACTAAAATTATGTTGGCCTCAGAGACAGCCACAAGCAACCTGTCATTTCAGATGAGATAAGACACAGTTACAATCGTTCATAGCGTGTGTCAAAACAAGTCTCGTTCACCAGGTTACACGAAGAGCATTTAAAATATCTGGAGAATTGTACTCTCCCTTTGTACAAGCAAGCATATATGCTTCTGTCCACCTTCTGAAACCTTGGCCATCTCATAGGCTGGAGGCAAGATGCAATACAAACTAAACAATGGTTGTCTCCTTTTATAGTGAGGGTTTGTTTGTTTGTTTTTTTTTCATTCTGGGATTAACTAGGAAAAAACGCACATCAGTATATTTTATGGAACACAATAAAGGGATATTTTAGATGAAGACCACGCTAGGAATCCACCATAATGTGGCTTCTCAGGTCTTTCAGATGCTGCAAGTGGGCTTATTTTGTACAGGGATTTCTCACCTTCTCACTGTTCTGTAAGTGCTGGTACTAGTCTATGATGGTAGAGGCTATTGCAATCCATACCTTAATGCATTGTCTTAACACAATAAATCAGTAAAGTCAAATCACTGTAATAGAAACATTCCCTCCTTCCAGTTTCAGCTTGGTTCAAATCTCCTTTAATCACCGACTCAACATCTAAAAATCCTCTGTGCAGAACTATATATCCCAATAAACCAAAACCTGAGTCAGGTTAGGAGAATCCTCACATGACACACAGCTACAGCTCTAAAGAGAGTGGTAGTTAAATCTGTTCATTTAAACTTTTTCTAAAATCTTGCTAGCAAAAAGGCTAACAAAATTACTACAAACTACAGAATTGGTGATCCTTTGACTGGAAGATAGATGAAACTGTGTTAAGCTTGAAAACAGATGGCCTGTTATTACGTAGCTGACAAAGGGATAAAGATATTCTGACAAGTCATTTCTCCAATATTTTGCTATCAGCACTTCGTAAAATAAAACTGAGATTATTGCTTCTAAAATAATAAAACCTTTTTCTGTCTGTTAAAGCAAAGACAATTGATCAGTGGGTAAAATCACAGGAAAAGCTCTTGGCACATTTGTGAAATGCCCCTTGATAAGAACCATCTTCAGAATCTGATGTATCAATATAAACTGTTACCAACCTGATTTTTCGTAAGCGATGGGTCCCACAATCCTACATCTTCCCATGTAGTGTTTTTCAAATAAAAGTCATTAGGTTCAAACTGTTTAAAATCCTGGAGAAGGGAAAGATGGGAAGAGAGCACAGACAATCAAAACCCAGACCAACTGCTCCCTTAAGCAACTCGTGTAAGCATTCATGCAGTCCTCTCACTCACACGCTGCTGGTGAATAGCGAAGAGCATTAATAAAAGAAATCTGCATATTTAAATGCATTATTTGGAGGTAAAAATTTGTGAACAATCTCAATACAAGGACTATTTTCAACATACATTCTGCTAATTAACGCAAGACTGTCATTAAATACCTGCCCCATCTTCAAAAGCAGTCCCTGATACCAACAGCTGAATCCTGATACATTAAAAATCAAATTCTGTACCACAAACTTGGTGGTGCTGGTTGTTTTTTTTAAAATGTTGTTGGCTTTGTTGTTTGTTTTTAAATTTATTTCACAGAGGAATTTAGATCCAAGTTTGACAATATGCATGGTGTCTAAGTAGCCCAATTCCTATTAAAACAAAGTGCTTCGTATTTTGTCTTTAGCATCAGCAGCACACAGAGACTGAAATTAATACTTCAAAGCAACACTGTCCCTAGTCACAACTTTACCCTTAAAAACCGAGTGTGCCCACAGATTTCCTAAACGGGGAGAACAGGTATTCCTCTTTCTCTTCAAGTATCTCACTTAAATCCTCCTTAAAAAGATAGTAATGAAATACAAAAGCAAAGTCATAGTCTCGTGGGTACTCTGAACAGTCCAGAGGTATGAACTGACCTACCGAATGCTGTGTTCAGGAGAAAAAGTGCATTTTTTAGAGTAGCACAAACACCTTTTCCTTCTAGGAACTAACACAAGTATGTAAGTAGTTTGTTCAATTGATGACCTATATTTCAGCACCAACAAACATTCTGTGAAAATCTCAGGATCTTCTGTCCCACAGAAACACCCTGTACCACACCGTCTTGATTTATTCCTAAGTGTCCAGTTAGCAAGTGTTATCCTTTGGAGCCAAACACAAAGAACAACCTACCTTCAACATACGTCAAGTCAGTCATAAATAGCCTGAGGCCTACCTCATCTCCAGCAGACTTCCTAAGGAGTGTTTGTAGCACATTTTAGCTCAAATTATTAATTAAATCACACTTTGTATAGGACTTAAAAAAACCAGCGCAATAAAAAACAGGTAGCAATGCCTGAACAGCAAAGCTCAAGCAGAATCCCATAGTCACTTTCAGAAGCTGCTGAGAACAGGAGTGAGGTGTGGGATCAGGGTACAAAAGATTCCAGAAACATCCTTCAAAGCTTACAGGAAGAATTCAACGTTTGACAAAGCAGGGAAAAAAACTAAACAACTGTGACCTCACTTTTCCACTAATGTTTGAGCATTTCAGCTCTGAAGCACTTGAGAGGTATCATACTTACTTCTATATGTTCTTTACAGTATTCCAAACCAATGTCACTAAGTATTTTTTTCACAGTTTTCCGGGCCTTTCTTAAACTGCCAAGGTTGTTGACAGGAAGTTGGAACATAGTTTCTATTGAAAAACAAAGTCAGAGAAGAGGTTTAAGTCACATGTGCTTTGTCTGATGAAGAGCTGCATTTAATTATTAGTAACTTTCTCTCTCATCTTCCCCATAACTAAAAGAAAGTCTCAATCTTTAAGATATGTGGATTCTCTGCACTCAGGTTTCTTCCACGTGCCAATAAGTGGCCTTATTTCACATACACAGCAATTCTCAGTCTGCACGCTGCTACCATTACACTAAGCACTTCCTGAGCTACAGAACCATCATCAACTCATCTGCACTTCAGGAAGGTGCAAACCACAGAAACGCAGGAGTCTTTTGGCAATATACACTTCTTCTGGGGGAGGCAGGGGAGCATGCAATGAACAGGCAGGCTCTTCCTCAAAGCAAAGCAGAGAATGATCTTGTTCACTAGGCTCTGGTGCTCTACTGTCTGTTGCATAAAAAATATCATCCTAGAAGACAAAAGCTGCATTTCTATCATTAATATTCCTGGAAGCTAATTCTTGCTTTGTTAGAACATATTTTTTTTTAATTATTCTTATCAACTAATTAATCACTACAGGGCCAGAGAATAACTACAGCAACAAAAAATTGGCTTCTTGGATGGAAGACGTCTACAATTCAGAATGAGCAGAAGCTTAAAACCATGGAACAGTTCAGTTAGAAAAACAAAAATCTCTCATCATGAGATGAAGGGCAGTCTCTAAGATACAAGGAACTTACTACAGAATTTATTCAAGTAAAAAGATGGGGGTTGTGACTACAGTAACCGAGCGCTCCGATCAAACACAGCCCTGCTACACTCCTGTCCTGCACAGTTCTGTGTACACACCAGGCTTTTCGTGCTCATTCTCCTACCAACTTCGATGAGGTGATGCTGTAACAGTCACTAATGACTTACTATTCCATGACTGTCACCACCACCGCTCAGTGCCAGAAACAGACAAAAGTGACAGGGCCAACACGAACCCACCAGCTTCACCATCAACAAGGACTGAGTATCACTAAGCTCTCATCCCTTCCCATTCATCTAATTCAGAAACAGCTCTTGACTAAGAGTAGCAAGCTGATCATGATGTTTATGACTGATTTCTAATTTGTAGCCATGATACAAAGAAGAAACAATACTGAATTTATTAAGGGTCTACAGGAAAATTTTCAGAAATACCAAACCAACTCTAATGCTGTGGTGTGAGTGAGCCAGTCTGCAGCACCCACGGTCAGAAGGAAACACAGCTGCATGGAACACTGTGTACACAAAAGCTAGGAAACCAAAGAAAAGTGTTGACTTAGTCTATAAATCTCAGGTCTCCAAATTTCTCAGTTAAATTATCTGCAGTAGAGACACTGCTCAGAGACATCACACAAAGTCACTAATGACAGTAATTTAAAGAAATCATATAGGCCAGGAAAAAATTACTTCAACTTAGATATTGATTTCCTCCAAGATTTGTTGTGAGTATAAGCACAGTGTATTTACCTGACCTAAATTCTAAACGCAAGTTCATAATGTTTGTGACAGTAAAGGTGTTTCAGCTAGCATTCCTCTCTACTCTCAATTAAAAGGATTGGAATTATAAAAAAACCTATGATTTAGTTAATGGGAAAAGTAGTTGCTTTCTGTATGTTATCTGGAACCTTTCATTTGAGATAAACCCAAACCACTCTACAAAGAATTAGCATTCTGGTGAAATACTTCACATGTAGAGTTGTTATCAGCCTGGTAACTCATTTGCCACATTGGAGATAAGAACGCAAACCCAGCTATGAAGAGCACTTCCACAGGTATCCTCTGCCTTCTCAGAGATGGCGAGGATTAAACAGAACACAGCAGAAAATTACACTCTTACCAGTTACTGCCTCTAAAGACACCGAATGAAAGCCATGAACTGCTGTTTTCATCATCTGTGTTCATTCCTACCTGTACACCTTTATAATCAAGCATCTTATCTGCAATTACAAAAAATACCCAGGCCTAATACATTCTCCTTCATGATGCAAGAGTGAATGTCACCATCTGGGTAATTAGATTGATCCATGTACTCACTTCCAGCCAAGGACATTTTTTTCATCCTCACAAAGGACTAGGAAACAAGGTTTGCGTCTGAATCTCTAACTTATGTTAGTTTTGAAAGCTGACAAAGGCAAACCAGTTACTTCGTTATAAACAGCATCTGAGTTCATGGCTCCATTATCAGATGTTCTGAGAATATTCATATTATCCCCTTGCGCTTTCTTCTCTCCCAAGATCCATTTCTCAAGGCACACACTGAAGAGAATTAGGAAAAACCCTTAAGTGTTATAAAGTGTTATAGCTCTGTACTATGTATTAGGCTTTGGTAAGCAATAACAGAACGTGCCAAGCTCTGCCCTACTTATCTGCCCATCCTTGTGCCTGTGCTGTGGTTATTCAGTTTTACTGCCTAGGCACCTCTGGACAAAAGCTATTTCCTGGTAAAATAAAAATAATACCATTTACGACAAAGTACCAACGCATAAATGGTGAAAAAGCTTTTGAGAATAACAATGGATATTTACACTGCAAGCATCTGTATTGAGAAATGGTTGTATTAAACAACCACACTTTAAGACCAAAAAGAGCAACTTCTACACACTTCAGAGCAACATTACGTTAGTTACTTCCACGAGCAGAACTAAAATTTCCCTAAGAAAAATTTTAAGATTGCAGTTTTGCTTCTATTGTAAATACATCTAATATAACTTAGAAATTTTACATCATTTTACATCAAAAGATGTAAGAGGTAACTGAAAATGCTTAACAACAGTGCTGAATCAGCAATGCCAATTTCATACAGCAACACTATATTTATTATTACAGTGACACAATTTATTACTGTGACACTATAACATGATGGAAAACACAGCACTGACAGTGGGATAGCAAAGTCCCAGGCTGCAGCAAGTGAGGATAAGCTGAACTGCAGCAGACGTGGATGCAGAAACAAAGGAAGAAGTCTGCTTACCCTTGGAAGGCCTCAGCTGGGCAGGGATCTCCAGCAAGATACTCTTGCCTCCACTGCCAACCCTTAAATGAGGGCTGGAGGAGGTGGATCCTGGCCCTTCCAGTTACTCAGGTACATTGCATGCACCTGAGCTCCCCTGCCTTCCCACCAGGTGCTCCATCACTCCTTCAGGCCATAACTTAGCACTTCTAAGTGCACAAATAGTAACAACAGCACTGCACTTAGCACAAATAGTATCAAAAAAAATATGACAAAGACTAATGGGGAAAGGGCTGCGGAGCATTTAAACTCCTAGCGAGCCCGCTGGTCAACGCAAATTGTAAGGCTGCATCCTACCTGCAATTTTCAAGTGGTATTTTCTCTGCTTTTGATCTGTGGTTGAAGTAGTAAGTAGAACTTACTTTTTTGTTCAGGTGGAAAAAGCAACTCAAACCTGTAGCTCCTTTTCCTAGGCCTGTCACTACAAAACAGTGCTCAGTGCTAAGCTCACTGTCACTTTTTTCATGACTTGACTTGTAAGAGATCTGAATTTTATGATAGTAGGACTGCATCAATAGGACACCAAATCCAATATCGCATTAAGAAGGTATGGCTGCCATGTCACTGACACCACATCTCACACTGCATAGGCTGCATGTATATTCTTCATCACAACATTTTCAAAGAAAATAGTCTTTAATATTCAATTCCACTTCCTCCCAGAACACAACTGGGGATTATGGCTTTGAACTCTTAAGTTCCAATCAGGTTAATACAGGTTTACTTTCCTTAGAATATTTTTAACATTCAAGAACGTTCATTTAATAAAAGCTCCTGCTGCTGTAGTTTACTGTGCACATGTGAGAAACTAAGAATGTGGCCAAGAAATTAATCATGGCTCCATTAGTTTACTTCTCTAAATGCAACTAAATATGTATTGCTGTCGCTGCAGGACATTATTTCTCTATGCTTTCAGTAGCTTCTTCCTACATACCTGCACACTCAAAAAATACATGAAACAGCACTGTCAGCTGTTGTGCAGGACGTGAATGAACACTTCACAATGAATTTCAAATCCACAGAGAAAATAACCTTGTAGTTTCATTCCAGGATAACCCTATATCTTAGTATCAACTGTCGAATCAGTGCATGAAAGCATTCAATGTTAAAGCTTCTGGCAAGCTGTGACATTTTCTCCATAACCCAAATCCCCACTTGAGGAATCATTCTGCTTGTGAAGAGACCATAATTCTCCTAGAGACAAAGTGAGAGTACCGTTTGTCTCCAGGCAGTGACCACTGGTATATGTGAAAGTCAGATACAGTTCTCAAAATATTATTAGCAAGTAACTTACTTGAATGGAAAGTGCCAATATCAATGCCTTCAACCAAAACCATTGAGTACTTTCTCTTAATTACTGTGTCTAACAAACCTGGACATGTCAAACATATAATGATGTATATTTGTATATAAGCCCAAGTAATAAAAAAAGCAAATTTAGGACTGCTTAGAAACAAGATTTCAGTTATATCTACTCTATCATCCTGCCTTCTGCCTGCCTCATAGCCAACTCCTAAGAAATGGTCAACATCTTCCTATCATCACAACACATCATAATACAGGATACAATCGGATCTTCACATCTCAAAACTGAAGATCAGACTTCACAGCAAAAGGATTTTTCTCTCTATTTAAATGTTCTGAGCTTGTTACCCATAGCTGGTGAAAGAAATCAACAGAAGGGGAAAGAAAAACCACCCTGAAATGCTCATAGGAGTGATGTGAGCAACCTTCAGGAGAAACAAAAGCAAACAGGGAGCACAGACCCATTACTAGTGGAAATTGCTGCTTAGCTTAGGAACTTAACTGCACATTACCAAGATAGAGGAGATCAGGACTATGCTCACTGGTACAACACAACAGAAGGAAACACGAGAAGCCTTACATGAAAATTATCTGCAGCACAGCCACAGAAGGTTCAACCACTCCCGAAGTCAAGGTTTTTGTTTTGTTTCTTTTTGGAGTTTAGTACTCAGATGCAGCTTTCAACAGCAAATTGTATCTTCACCAACTTGCTACTTTTACTAATACTTCAAATTCCAGATGGAAACAAATCTGGCCATCAACTTAAAAACATCCAGGATGGGAAACCTGACACATCCACCACCTGTTACTGCCAAATTTTTAAACCACTTTTTGTGTTTAATAAACTATTAGCAATGTATAACCTTCAAGCACTTCAAGTTATCATAGCCCTGCAGTTCAGTGCTTCAACATACCACTACTAAAGGACTGGAGCCACCTACAAAAACTAAGTCAAAAGAGAAGAAAATAATAAAATAACACTGTGCAGTTATGTGGAAAATTAATGTAAAACACAATGCTGTGTGCCTGACTGAAGGTTCTACGTTGCAACATGTTGTTTGTCTTGTTTTTTTTCAATGCAAACAGTCATCCCTTTATGAGGGAAGTACACTGCTTTTACACACAATGCAGCACAGTCACAACTGTGTCCTTACTGGAAGGTGTGCACCCAGGAGAGGGTAAGGAACACAGGTGGGAGAAAACAAGAACACAGCAGTTAAATTATCAGAGGTGATTAAAAAAAAAAAACACACCACCACCACCAAGGAACAGCCTCTGCCTGTCTGCAGATCCAAAAAGCTGCTTCTACTTTTGTGATCCTAGGAGTGTCATGCTCCAGCATTTCGGTATCTCTGGCCTCACAGCTCACTGCCCTTAGTGCTACCAGGTAACAACAGATGTTAAGGATGCTTCAGTTCTGCCAACTTCACCCAGAACAACATGGCCAACCTCGTGGCACGAGGCCGTGGAGCACTCACCAGGCAGCAGTGCTGTTCTGATTCAGGAGAAGATGCACCAGCAAGATGAAGACAGCTTTTTTCTCTCAACTACAGTCTTCAATAAATATTCCAAATCTGCCTCAGCCTTTTTTTGTTGTTTTTAGACAACATGATTTGAAGTGTTTAATAGGCTCGTCTGATGACTGAGGTTTGCTACAGTTGTGCCAAGCAGCAAGTGTAATAAATTATTCTTGTCACAGCCCCGTCAGTAAAATGGTGATTTTCATACACAAGTAGTCTGTAGACCTAAAGAAATAATCTGGAGGATACTCCTGCAGTGTAAAAGAACCAAGAGAGCACCAGTGGACTACTCTTGGCTTTCTTATGCCTGACTACACCATGAGGAAACCCTCGCACAACTGGCACACACACAACTGTTGCTGACCCCTAGCATTTAACTGAGGAAGGTGTTTTCATTTAACACTGATAAAAAGCACCACTGTGAAATGGCAAGTAAAAAAAGAAGTTGTGGAAAATGTGTAAACAAAAGTTGGTCTCTATGGCACACAAAATAATTCACAGGTGCGTAAAGACAACTGTCTCTTGGGCACATTATTATAAATGTAATAAAACACCAGTTTTACCTTCAATGACTATGTTTGGTTGACCCTTCATCTCCTAATGCTGTCGTTTATTCACACTATCAAGACTGAGAAAACCTGAACTTTATGGTGATCTAAAATACAGCCTTACCAACTGCACTGCTCAGGACAGTATTGAGAGCACGCGTGCAAAACAGACAATTTCAAAAGCAATATCTAAACTCTATCCCATTGTGAGTTTCTGTTTATATACATCTGTACATCTGTATATATCAATCCTGTCTTAGTAATCATCTCTGCAAGACCTGTAATTCATTAAACAGATAATTTTGAAACTGAACGACAGTAACATTTTCTTTAATGTCTGCACATACTTAGAAAAGCAGAACTGCTCTTACTTCTCCTTTTCCCTCTCCCCATTAGTATCCCTCTGCTGCTTCAAAAGGTCCATCCTTTTGTTGCTCTTTTCCCCTTTCCTCCTCATCCTTTCTTTGCTGGTTCTTGGCCTTCTTGGTCCTTACCTCGCTCATTTTCCCTCTTCTCATCTTCCCTGCGCCAATTCATAGCGTCCACATTCTTTCGTCGTTCTCTCTCATCCTGTCTCCATCGCTTCTTGATATCTTTGTCCTTAACTTGCTCATTTTCTCTCCTCTTCTCATCATCCCTGTGCCATTTTATTGTTTCTGCATTTTTCTGTGGGTCCACGCTTCTTTTGAGATAGTCTTGTCGCCTCCTTCTCTTTTTTAACATATCTCTTTCCCTGGCACGAGCCTGCTTTTCTTTCTGGGAAAGAAAAGCTTTACGAGGCATCATGAGCTGCTGCTGTACCTGTAATAATATTGTATTCCATGGAATAATGTACTATAACATGCACTCGGTCAGGCACAACAACTCTCATTTGGAGCTGAGTATTTCAAAGCCAGGATAATTTACTGCTTCTTCTCTTTCCTTTGTAAATCTCTGCTCACTCTGTATTAGATAGTGCTAGGCAAGCTGCTACATTCAGCTCCGGGCACAATACCTAACTGGCACCTCAGCAGTTGGTGCACATCCAACACAGAAAAGTAAGCCCCCTAAAACCCTGAGCTGAAGCAGGATGTTTTCTTTCCCCTCCCTCTTACAACTCCTCCCACAGAGAGTTTTTAGCAGCCACTTGGCATTACAACATCCAATTGAGAGAACAGGCTGACAGAAGAGAGTTGTGAAAGAAACCTGGTAATGTTCAAGCCTTAATCTCTTCTCCTACTGGAGATCTACTGTTAATGAAGCTTAAAGATCTTTATTTGTATTTTCAGATCTCCATCTATATAAAATTTGGTTTAAAGTGGCCAACGTTCTTGGCTGGGAGGAGCGAGAGGCCAGCAGGAGACAAGCCACAAGCTGAAGAACTACACAAGCTTTGTTTCCTTGGGAAACCTGGCCAAAACATTTAACTGCAGTTAGTGAAATAAGTCCTGACTCATCTACTCAAACTTTCTCTGCGTGTGTCAAGTCTTGCTATTCACAAGACCAGAGGAAAAAAGAATGTACCTATTTACTTGAAGTTTCTACCAAAAACATGCCTGATGAGCTTTTGTTTTGTTTTCTTAAGAGGTGTCAGTTAAGACTGCCTTTTAACAAATCATTTTATTTTGGTCATTTCTCCATAGTCATCCAACACATTCACATCGTTAAATTTATTGATGTTAACATCTGCGATTTTGACATTATGGAAAACAAAACAGACCACAGAAAGAATTTTTACTATTACTACTATTCTTTAAAGACTCTTCCATGCACATTGAGCAACATTTCAGAAGTATTCCAAACTGCAGTTGTGGCCCAGGTTTGTTTGTTTTGGTTTCTGAATTTGTTTAGGAGAGAGTTTTGCAGAGGTATCTAATCAAAATGAAAACTGCAGAAAGGACAAAGTTACTAGATTAGAATACTTAAACAAAGCCTAAAAGAAAATGAAACAAATGTACTTTTAAAATTTAGCTACCTTATGGAAAGCACTTGTTCCCAGCATGCAATACTCCATCTTTTTCCTACAGAAAAAGCAATGTTTCAAACCCTTATTCTAAAATCCTGCTCCTTTTCCCTGGGTAATATATCCTCCCCCCCCCCTTCCCATCCCTCCCACCCCCCAAACACTATTCTAGACCATAGACTTTGTTAGAAATATCAAAATCCCACCATTTTCATTGTAAGAATTCAAACTATTTTCTTAATATCCGTACTACTAAAAGGGAAGGGCTGTAGCAGGGTGAAACACAGCATAATAAAAAACACATGCAATCTGGTAACAAGTTAGTGCACAAAATTCAGATTATACTAAATGCTACTTCATTAAGAAGTACAGAATACCCCTCTACTAGACAGCCTGTTTTTAAGTATTAAGAAGTATTTGGTATTAATAATTATTAATAATAACGTTGTCATTAACATTAGAAAGCACTGAGAATCCAGGATTGACATCAGTGCAATCTTTACGTCTTTGAAACAGCTTTAACTTCTCTATCAGCTGTGTGCCAGTACATCACTGTTGTTTACTATAGCAAGCTGAACTTTTCTTATCTACCTTATCTTCAATTTTATCAGTAACTTGATTTTATTCCAATCATAACAACATGAATAAATTTTTAATTCAGACATAGCTTCATGCAAATAATTTCCCCCGACCCCCTCTCCAAGCAAGGTTTGACATTTAGTGTGCCATTAAAAAAAGCCCTTTGGGGACATAATTGTTGCATTTTCTTTCATTTGTTTGTGTTGTTTTTTTTTTTTTTCTTCTCCCCTGCTTTAGGCTTTATATTTTCATTGTTTTAACAATGATATTCCTCCCTCCCCTCTGATTATATCCCACTCTGATCAACCCATTTATAGACAAATGAGAGAAAATACCTCAAAAAAAGTTTCAGTTAAACTTCTAGAAGTAAACATTTAAAATGTGTTTCAAATAAAAAATATCATGTTTCAGAGAGTAACTTAAAGGGACAGCCAACTTGAGCTCGGCACGGCTCAACTCCCATGTCACAACTCGCAGGTTTCCCCCCCACTTTGTTTCAGCTCTTCTGGCAGATTTCCCACAGCCAGAGCTGTCTTTCACTTTTGCCCCCGTTGGTTCATTAAGACGAAGCGAAAGATGGGGGAAATCTTTAAACCAGGAAACCACTGAAGTGAAGCTGCCAGAGCACTTGAGCTCAAAGCCCACAATTTCTCTGGAGGCCAAGTTGGTGTTCCTTTAAGTTCATGATGCCCACATGTCAGAAGCAAACAGAACCGTCTTTTCAACTATTTTTTGCCCATACTTCTCCAAACAATAATCTTAACTCCACCCAATCTACTCAGTATATATTACGAGGCATTTACCTCCAAAATTAATGGTGCTTGGGCGTCTCAGACTCATTGGACAAGTTTCATGCAAAAGCCTTCAAAAATAATTCTTCCAGAGCGCCCACCTCAGCGATTATATTACACCTACTGTGTGAGGCCGAAGCCCGGACATAGAAGAAGGGTCATATCCTGCTGTACAAAACAAAGTGTTAAAGATAAGAGGTAAGAAACATCATAAGGGCAATCTGACATTTATAACGTACATTTAATTGTGAAGAACTAATTATAAACCACGCATACGGTACCTGTACCGACACGGAGCTACCGCGGGGCGCACTCAGCAAGGTGAGGAGTGCCGCAGACGTTTGAGTGGGCCTGGGCTTTAAACCCATTTTCTAGGTGATGTTACCTGCAGAACAGTTCGGCACTCAGAGTTCAGTTAAGTTACCCAAGTCGGAAATCCAGCAGGACGCTGTGATGAATGCACCTTCTCACACCACACCTTCTGACTTTAGCGCCTAGCGCCTCTGCTTACAGAGAACCTGAGCGCCCAGTCCCAGCAGCACAGCCGCAATACAACGCGCTGACACCAGCACTCACACAGCTCATTGCTCCTAGGGGGGTCCCATGCCAATACAGTCCTGCCTTAAATTACAAGTCTGTGGGAAACCAAGCAGGTGATGTGGCTGCCACTCCAACCGCAGTGAGACAACTTCCCCTGGGAAGGATTCAGACAAAAGTTTTAGTTCTATGGGGGCTGGCAGGAGGATGTGCAACAGCCTAAATGTTAAGCTTCTCTGGGAAGACCTGACATCTCTTCAGCTCACACCTACAGGGCCTGACAATTCCAAGGGAGCTGAGCAGGGACGAGTGACAGTCAGGACGCAGGACAGGGAATGGTAAGCAAACCAAAAATACCAGGCGCAGATATACCAGGGAGAGGGGAGAAGTTGGGAGAACTGAAAGCTACCAAAAACTTCCATGAGAAGGTAAAGGCTGCAGCTGAATAGCCCTCCTCCTGCACCCAATGGCACGGCTGCCACTGGTTCACAATCAGCATTTCACTTCTTTTTTTCCTCGTGGGACTCTTCTCCTTATCTTAGCATTTCTGGCCTACTTTTCAGAGGAGCTGTGCACCTGCATCTCCAGTGAAGGTAATGAGATTTACAGTTTAACAGCACATCTGAAATGGCAGACAACTAAGGGCTCATTTTCAAGTCTGCTATAATCTAGGATGGAGGCTGCTCTGTAACAGCACAGGACTTGCTCTCAAAGCTACAATTTAAACACAGAGCACCTCCACATCCCTGCCAGTTCAACCACCTATAGCACTGTAGGTGCTCTGGAAACACGATGGTTTCCAGAGAATATCTGTCCCAAGACCTCTCAACTTCAACTAGACAACACAGTGTGCACATGCTGTGCTGTACAACCCAGTGTGTCAGCAAGCACGTGCATCCAACTCCTCTAATTCATGCCTGTATCCAAAACAGGACTGGACACATTAGAAAGATGGGAAGTTTACAGAAAGCCCAAATCAAATAAATCCTCTGTAAAAATCTAACATGGTGTTTTAAAACAATGATAACTGAAACCGAAGGAAGTTTGTAAGCGTGTTTCAGTACCTAGCCAATGCACTGTACGACTTCAGGACACAAAAACCCTGACACCCCCTCACAGTCAAACTTTATTTCAACATCCCTTGGTCAAGACTTCCAAAAGACTTTAAAACCACTTCAGAAATTCAGCATCAAAGAAAAAGGAAAGTTTGCACCACATCCCTGGAAATCAGGTTTTAAAATGGAAGAACGTTAACCCTATACAAATGTTCCTTCAGGACAGAAAAGAAGTCCATCTAAAATGAAGTACTAAAAACCCAACCACACTTAAATTGCTTTGGAAGAAATTCTCTGGCTAATGACATGAACGTTCTGTTTCTGTGATTACATGCCATCTTCAGCGAGAGTTTACAGAGCTGTTTTCTCTCTTTTCTTTTTCAGTTTATTGTAAGCATCAGTCACCAACCTGAAGACAGACAACTCCAACCTCCCATCACAGATGAAAAACTTCTGTGGAGGACAGCTGCAGTGGGACACTCAGGGAGGCTGAGCTTTCTCCGTTCATCTTCTTTTTTTTTAAAGGTTAAAAAAATATCTCCTGCAGTCTTGCAGACAGAGATCCTCTTAAGTCATTTCACACAGTTCTCATTCTTGCTTGATTTCTGGAATTTTCCACTGGTGCCAGAAGCTCCATCTGGTGGGTGTGTACTCTAACTGCATAACTAAAAGGGAATTAACTATTTCCTTAGCAATTTCTGCACAGCAGTATAAGTTTGTACATTGTGCAATTTCTCTGCTGCAATGTAAAATACAAGACAAATTCTGGCTGCTCCAGGAACCATAACCCCTTTTTTCTTCATGAACAACCTGTTACCTTGCACTCTACTGAGAACTTCTGCTTGGTTTTCTTATTTTGATAACACAGGTTGATGGTTTTTAAAAATAAGCGTTAGCCAACTCAGAATACTTTCTGAAGAAAAAGATTTTGAAAACACAGACAAGAAGAGCAATTCTCATAATCTCTACTGCATTCTCAAAAGCAGCTTTAAATTGCATCCATTCTCTAGGGCATGCTATACTTCAGTGCATAGGTAATTTTTAATTAGAGGCACCAGCAGCTCAAGAAGTAGGCTTCCCCACCTACTGCCATCTTTAATAATATCTTTCGTCGCTGTTCACATATAAACATTTATATGCATCCATATATGTGTAATGGAATCAATATGTAATACACATGCTCAGTACAACAGCCTTGTTAGTTTAGGGCTATTACAGATTTGTTTGAAAGGCACTAAAGCCTGCCTACCTTACAGCAATTTGAAATTGAGACTGGAGGTCAATGAAGCATGAAGGATATTATTTGCCTACACCATGATATCCACACTTCAGCGTGCAGGAAAAAAAGGCCACATGAATATGCTTTACCAGTTCAAAACGTCATCTTTGACTGTAGCTAAGCACAAACAATCCCGTATCGAAAATTTTGGAAACAGAAGCATGTTTCATTTAGATTTTCAATCTAAAGCTCAAAAAAAAAAAGTAAAATGTTCAAAAATAAAGCATGCAATCAACATACACATCATTTATGACTAGATTACACCGACTGTAGAACTACAATCAGAAATTACAAATGCTAGTCTTCTCTATCATGCTTTGCTGACACCACCGCCGTGTTAGCACAGGGCTCGTGCAGCAGCCACAGCACAGAACTGATTCAGTGGCAGCAGTCTTCAGCCAGAGCGCTTCCTCCTCCACAGAGCTGCTGCTTACACAAGTGAAGCGGTAGGAAGCATGGCTTACACCACCCCTTGCAGAGGCAGCACACAGTTATATTTAAACCACTGCTGAAACTGCATCCCTTACAGTGCCCTACTGCAGAATGCATTGCTTGCATGCTGGTGGAAGTGGCAGAACAACAAAACACAAGAGAGCATACAAACACTTTCCCAAGCTCATCCAAAACCCTGCCAAAACATGTTTTCTCAGACAGCGGATAGATTAGATACTGAAAGGATCTCACCAACTGTCTAGCATGAAAGCATTTAACATGTAAAAATAGACTGTGAAGTATGCTGATGCTAATTGTTCTTCCTTTGCCTTGCCACTTCACACACTATGCACAAATGCTGGCATTACACAATGGGGTAAAGTCTGTGAACAACAGCTTAAAATCAATCTTACCACTCCACGTTTCTTACCTCGTTCCCTTTCTGTCTAAGCATAGCTCCCAAGTGCTCCAGTCCCTGACTACATTCCAGCGTTAATCCACCTCTGCTACTGCTGTCTTCCGTCTGACTCGGGAACCTTCGATATTCATAGCAGCAGCAATGAGGAAACAAAACAAAACAGAAGGTCAGAAACACAATGAACTTTTTTAGGGAGAAAAAAGAAAAAGCATTTTAAGACAAATATTTTGCCTACTTCGATTTCAAGAGATTTTTGCCCCCATACTGTTGCTGCTATGAATCTGCATCACTAACAATTCCTTTGGCCCAGATGCACCACAAGCAGAGAACTATGAGATCCAGAGGCACATCAGCAATCAATACACAGGAGAGAAAAAAGGGGTGAAGGAAAGAATGGCTGAGGTGTGAAGGAGGGAAAAGGAGCTGGAGGCAGGGAAGGATCAGCAGCTGCTGACGCCAGGCCAGAGAGCATGCCAACCTACACAGACAGGACAGGGGAGGTAATGAAAGTCACTTTGGTGGACAGGCTGTTTGCAGTTACTCAAATTCTGTTTCTTGCAAATTAACATGCTTCTTGAAAAATGGATTTTAAATCAAACATTTTGCCACCTGATCTGGTCAACCAAGAGCCTGCAGGTGTGATTATTCACAGAGACAATCACAGCGCTGTAGGACCCAACCACAAGAACCAGTTTTTGGTCAACCATCTTTAATGCCATCTTTAAAACAAACGAACAAGAAAACCCAACCCCAAGGATATAAAGAGCAGTAAGCACAAAGTGATTCACTACAGAAGCATGGAACTCATTCCACTCTTATTTAAAGCCATCAACTGTCGTAACACATTCAAAAGCACTCCTATGTTATTTTGCAGTAAGAATGAGATGCTGATTTTGAGACCCATTTTGTCTTTCAACATCAGTTCTGAAGAATATGTATTTTCTCTTTGCAGGTACACAGCCCTTGGCTAGGTAAGTAAGAGCCATGCCCTCCCGGAAACTATTCACATCTAGAACACGAGTTTGGTTCTTGTACCAGATCCTGAAAAAGCCTCAAATGAGCAGGCCAACCTGACTACCAAAGCAAGGGCATTTTTTCCCCAAAACACATCATGTCAATCAAAACAAACCTTCCACATACGCACAAAAAACCTCCTGTATATACATATACACACACATATATATTTAAATTACATTAACATAATTAGGATTCTTTTTTTTTTTTTTTTTTTTTTCCTTCTAATGCATACAGATGTTTATATTGCCTTATCAGACCAATGCTGTCTGTTCTCACCTCCATAGCTCACGCTCCCTTATACCGTTAAGAAGTGTACCAACATATTTATGTGAGCAGGACTGCCTCCATGTCAAGGATTGTAATGGGAAATTATGCTAACAAAATTCTATCTGGTATGAAGAAATGAAGAGCCTATCTTAGCCATCCAAAATGGCATAACGTTCGTTTAGCTGCAGCTGTTACACTTTTAGAAAAGCAGCACACCGGCATTTCAAAGAGCAAAATGAAAAAACAACGGTAAGCACAGCACTGAAATGCAAACTGGGCTGCACCCGCAGACACAGCGCAGCCCATCCCTGTCCCTGCACAGCCCTGCAGGCGACAGCCCCACGGCCCTTCCCTGCTCCCACTCCCTTCACACTAAAGCTGTCCTCACCACACCTGGCACTGCTCTGTCCACTCTCAACGTGCAAGTTCTGCATCTCAAAACAACTCCAAATACTAGAACAAAAATACTAGAACTTCCCAATTCTGAAAAACAGTCAATGAAGTTCTAGCTCTCAGTGGTACCTGCAGCCGCCCCAGAACAAAATGCCTTTTCCCCCATCTTACCACAGAATCCCATCTTACCATCTGTGGTTGCATCTATGAGAGCAGCTGCCATCATAATTGTAAGTTATGAAGAAGACATTTGCACTGCATGACTTTTGACTACCAACATGATCCCGATATTGTTCTGTGTTGCAAGAATACCACTTTAAACTTCAATATTTATTTTCAGTATTTACTGTTTTTTTATGGAGGAGGAAAGCTGGGCTGTAAATAATCACCTATCGTTCCTTCTGCAGTGTGACAGAAACACAGCTTACCTTACGCACAAAAGGAGCCCCAGCACTGCCCTAGGAATGCATGTGGCATCTCCTTCAATTTTAACAGTGAGTGCAGAAACTGCGGAGCTCAGATTGTTAAGCACCCAACAACACTTTACAGCACTGCCAAATGATTTCCATGCTTAATTAAAATGCTGCTGTAATATACCACGGTGACACGTCCAATTCCAACAACGCTACTGGGCATCTTCCAACAACTGCCAGCTTCTATCCTACACACAGGGAAGGATCAGCTATCCGCCCCATCCTGAGACACGCAGCCTCCCCAGCTGTTGTCTGTGCAGCACACATCTCACCCGCAGGGCACGCAGCTCCCAGCACAGCCGCCTTGCTCTGCTGCACACAC